GTTCTCTTCTCTTCCTCTGCACTCCCAATCCACTTTCCTCTCATGTCGTTTCCCTTCCAAGGTAAACCAGTGGGAGTCCTATTCCGCACCTTTGTAAACCACTTCAGGGCAGCTCTGGATCTTACGTTAAGAAATCCGAAGTGAAGAAATGGAATCGCCCGTGTGGAGAACAGTTACAATTCAGAGTTAACATCTCGATCACATTATTGTTGTTGTTTGCATTTGGCTACAATTTACCTGCCAAGGGAAGGTCTGGAAGATCAGTGGGTTTGGAGAAGGTTTTCCCAGAAGGCTTGGAGCTGCTCAAGCTGGAATGTCGCTGCAACCCAAGAGCGAGCGAGAGAGGGAGAGAGAGAGAGGGACAGAATTCAGCAGGCTATGAAGACATGACGCGACTCGCTTGTGCCTAAAAGGGAGAAGATGGGAGCTGCTCTGCAGAGCGTCCCGCTCGGAGAGTCGCATTTGCTTATGGTTTACCGTCCCTCCAAGCAAAAACAAAAAAGGGGAAAACCAGTCCAATCAAAATAGAAACAAAACGCAAGCAAGAAAATGCCTAAAAGACAAATAAAAGATCCCCTGGGACTGGGAGAAGGGGGCAGGGGGGAGGAGAAGACACGACAAAAAAATAATTTTGAAAGGTTGCCCAATGAAGGTAGCTACTAATCCATTTCCTCACTGAAAGAAGTGTTTTTTGAAGGAAACATACAGCATGGAACTCACTATCTAAGGGCAAAACAGCCCTTTAATCACCTTATTTTTTTCTTTAAAGTTTTGTCTATAACATCATTCATTAAAAATCTCGTGACAGTTTAAAAATGGGTCTGGGCATAGAATTTTAATGGCCACCGAGTGTGCTTGTCAGAACAGTTCCTCACAACTCAGCATCCTCCAGGTGTGTCGGAGTATAACTTCCATCATGCCCAAGGAGGGAGCTGGGTTGGCGCCAGCTGTCCCATCCAGCTCATGGCAGCGGGGCAGATGTTAACGGAGCCCCAAGCTAGGGGAACTCTGCTCTGCCCCAGCCTTTCCTTCCAAGCACCTGAGATGCCCCTGCACCTATTTCTTCGCTTCCGTATGATATTTCTACCCGGTTTCATATATTTAAAAAGCAAACAAAACCAAGCAGTTTGCATTAAAACACAACATAATGGCAGAAAAACAGGTTAAAAAGTTCAAGGCAATGAAAAACATTCCCCAGTGTTTTGGCTGGCCCTTTTTCTCGTTCCCTCCCTCCCACCAGCCCATGTCTTGTTTATTAGACCTCTTGGGAATTGTGGTGTGGGGGGGGAGACTGAAACCGGATCGTTTTTTAAAAGCCCAAACCCTTCCAACGTTGTCTGCGGGATTCCAGCAAGGCCAAGTGGGGTCTGCTGCACCCACCAAGGGCTCTCTTTGATCTCTGGATGTCTCACAGAAAAGAAAAGCGGGCCGGCGGGGGGCGGGGGGAAGCACAAACAAACAGATGCACTTCCCCTTCCCGGTGGCAACATGCCGATCACGTTTTCTCGCCACCGCAAGAGGCTGCGTGCTGCCAGCCGCCCACAGACGGCCCCAGTTCTGCAACGGGAGGGAGGGTCTCGGCGGGTACCTGGATGGGCGAGACGGCAGCCGCGGGGGCCGTCCTGGTGGGAATCCCGCTGAGGAGGCCCCGGGAGACCTTGTGCACTGGAACACTTTGCCCGGGGCCGGCTGCAAGGGAAGAAACCCGGGTTAGAAGCTCAGTTTGCATACAAGAGCCCGTCTGGAAAAGAGCTTTTTCCGTCTGAAGAGGTGCAGTGCAGTCACCTTACCTGGGCACCCCAAGTCGAAGGACTTGATCAGCGATTTGACTGTGGCCAGGGTTTCGGGGGGCGTCGGAGACGTGCGGCTCGAAGAGACCCCTTGCCAGCGGCTGCTGGGATCTGTCTCGGTGGATGTTGCCACCTCTGCTCCTGGCCTGACGGGAAAAACCAGAAAACGTGAGCAGGGGACTTTCTGTGTCTTGGCTTGAGCTCCCGAGCTGCAATCGGGTCTTAAGGAGGTGCGATGCCATCAATACTTGCAGGTTTGACCAGGCCCCTATTTTTCAGTGAACCCGCCGGAACGGCACCACACCTCGGACTAAAATTCATACTGGGACATGATTATAATTTCTTCAGATGCTGAGAGTTCTTGGCTCGAAGAAATCAAGCGATAGGTTTTCAAAAGGGGGCTTGCTAGAATAAAAAGCATGTAAGTTGCCGGTGAAGGGGTAAAGTACACACAAGAGCTATCTATCTATTTTCTATCCTGCTTATTTACCCAAAAGCCGAAGCAATGCGCTATGAAATTCAAATGAACCAGGTATTAATTAAAGAAGCATAAAACCAATTAAATTAAAAATGTAGATGGAGACAGGGATGGAAAAAAGAACCAACCCATAAAGCGCCATTCAGCATCAGCGAAAAGCAAGCAGGAAGATGCACTGGAGTATAAGCAGCATTAAAACGGCACTTTTCTGGAGACTAAACATCTGCATTAGAAAGACACACTTTTCTGATTTTTTTTCCCAAACCCCACAGACTGATGAGAAAGCAGGAAGGAAATAACTTGTGAGCTGATGTAATCAAAAGTCACACAGAGCAAAAACAGACCGATGTGTCACTGAACTATCTCACAAGACTGCTGGAAAGCGTGGGCCTCCTCGGCGTTACGACTGCATGTGCAAGGTACCCCCATTGTTTCATTTGGGAGGAGCCCGGCTCCTCCCCTCACCCCAGATGGGCTGTACTAATTCATTCCAGGGCCTCCACTGACGAGGATTCTTCTAGACGTCCCGAGCCGGCAATGCAGAGGCTGGCCGGGGGCACCACCGTCGGTGGAATGCCATCGGCCGCCCTAGGGAGCTCTCCAGAGTGCTGAACCTTTCCCTGAGTAGGGCCTGGCACTACGGATCGATCCTCTAATGCGCAGGTGGAAACTGAGAGTGGCCACCCACCCAACCGGCACGCTTCCTCTCCCTCCCCCCGACTTTCATCGTGTCCCCTTTTCGGTACAAATAGCTGAGTGTCTGTGCTTTTTACAAACGGGGTCAACTCAACCCACCATGCAGATGTTGGGGTTTTGTCCATGTTTTGAAAATGGTGTACAGCTTAGCATATCTGGGAGCAACGTCATTGTTTTGCACCGACCACACGCAGGCCCCGCTTCCAGAATTTTTTCCAGCACCCGTGTGACCGGGCCAGGCCGCCGGTGACCGTGGGGTGGGTTCACAGAAGCAGAATCCCGTTACAAGGCTGTTCAAGATTCCCATGAACAGCCAGGATTGTAGCAACAGGAATATCGTTTCATTATTAGAAATCACATCTCGCTTAAGCTCGAAAGGACGCATGGGGACTTGGCGAGCAGTTGTATAAAAGCAGCTTTTCGATTTGCAGAACAGTCCGAGGGGCCTGGCAACCTCAGCCGCATCGGGCGCCTCAAAAGCAGGGTGCCACCACCTGGAAGTCTGTTTTCTGGTAGTTACCCTGACCCAGCTGCTGCTTCTGTTGTGTGATTTTCCTGCCCTCTCCTGCCACATCATTTGGCAAACGAACAGCGGGGAAAACACCTTTCCCAACGTTACAGACAGTGTGGGCCTTTGCGCCCCGTCCTGAAACAATTCCAGTGGACTGCCAGGGGTGCCACAGTGGGCAAGAGCGCATGAACGGGGCGCAAGTCCAGAGTCCTCTCCCACCCCGGCTTGGCTCTGGAAGCTCTTTTGGGGAAAAACGGGGAGATGCGGGCGAATCACACATGCAGAGCAGAAAGAAGCGGAACACAACTTCGACACCATCATAATTAATTAGTCCTTTTGCTCATCATAAATCTTCAATTATTATCCCTTATTATTTGTGATCATCTATGGGCGCAAGCTGCTCTGAACTTCTGCCAGCTGGACAGTATCTAAATGCAATCAAGCAACGAAAAGCCATCCAAATGACCCCGCATTATTTTCAATAACTATTATCGTTAACCATCACGGATGATTTATTGTGGTCCTTAGTTTGTGGCTTCTCAGAAGAGGAACCTCCCAGCTCGCCAAGTGCAAACCAACAGAAGGCGGTGGGCCTTTTCCAGGGGGAGGCTCCCCCCCCCGCAAAAGGGGTGACGGCTGCCTTTTCGGCGCCTTGGCGCACTGGCCGCAAAAGCCCCGCGAGCGGCTCCGTGTTTGGAACCAAGCGCTTCACATAACATGCCACCTGCGGCCCAAGAAGTGCCATTTTCTGGCACTTGCACGAGAGCACGAGGAACACGCGCGAGAAGGAAGAGAAAGGAGCAGCGGCTTCCGCTCTGAATGCGCTTTTGTGTGTCCCCCCGCGAGCCCCCTCGGTGGAGATCCGCCCGTCCCCCCGGGTCCCCAGCAGCTGCATGACTCTGGCCAGGTTATTAATAGCACTGGTCTCTTTGGGGGCTGTTTCCCCTTTGGAGCCGCAGCGCGAGAGAACGCCGGAAGGCACGGGGGAGCCATGGCGGCGAGGCGGGAGACTCGCCCAGGCCCGAGCACATGGTCTCTGCCCGGCCTTGCCAAGCCCCGGCAGGGGGGACGGCCGAGGCCGATGGCCCAAGAATAGCTCCTTTCATGCCCCCCGCCGCCAACTTTTTGTCTCAGCCAGCGCAGAGGAGAAAAAGGGCAGGCTTGGCAGGAAGGCTGCCGGGGGTTTTGGGAGGCGGCGGGGGGAGATTCCGGGCTCTCCGAGCACATTCCTGAACTTCGGCTGCCACGCGTGCTTCCGGCTGCATCCTCTTTCTGCGGTGCTGCTCTGAGTCCGCAGCGGACGGCAGCTGGGCTTGATCTGCACAGAGGCCAAGCGGGGCCAGATCTGGCAGGAGAGCGTGCAGAAAGGGAAGGGCGGGCGGGCGGGGGGGGGGGGGGGG